GCTGGTCGGGGCGATATCGTCGTATACGGTACAAGTACTCGTATCGTAGTTCGTCACTTCGCTGAGCAGCAATAATCTTGGACTTCTTGTTCGTCCAGCCAGCTGAGTTTAACTGTCGACTGATTGCAGAACGACTGATCTGGATCTCGAAGGCTTCAAATAGGAAATCTTGCATCTCTTCAAGAGATAGATCGCTGCGGTACTGCAGTAGTTCAAGAAGCTCTGTACGATGCCATATTTCCATCTTTTGTCGACTCTGGCGGCACCTCTTATATCTCTGCACTTCGCCAGTGATATTACGTCGTGATCTATGTCGTCGAATCGTTCGTTCGGTACAGCCAACGATACTTGCCAGCTCGTGGGTCTTTTGGTCTTCGAATGGCAGTATCATCGCGATCGTCGATAGCTGTAGATTCGATATTCTGGGCGCCATTGTATCGTCGTCGTCGCCCGGCGTCTTTCTCGATGTATCTGATATAATAAACCACGGACATGTACTGACCAGCGGCAAACTGTAAGTAACAGGGCACAATCTATACAGCAGTAGACTCTTGCTCAATATCGTGAACAAGCTGAGCTATCAGGAGAGTCATTAATCCTGTTGACTGCCAAAGCATTTGCTCTGAAGAACCGTATCAAGCCCCTTGGTATGCTTATATATTACTCAGAGCCATACAAACCGTATGCTGAGTAGATATATAAAGTCATACAGCAGGTCTCTTCTTCTGTTCCTCAGCAAATGTCATCTTGATCTCTCATGACGAAAATAGACCTTTTGTTGGTCGAATGGTATGGGGATGAGGTGACTAGCTGGGTTGGCAATGCCTCGATGGGTAGATTGACTGCTACGGAAGCATGAAATACACACCTTATGTCTCTATCGTGTAGTTATACGTTTGAATACTACTGGGACTATAGTGATTGACGGCAATTGAGGTGTTGGTGATGACTTTGACGCGTTTTGCGTGCGATGCAGAGAAATGCGCGTCACAGCGTAAAATTGGCTTTTTTTCATGTTTTTGCATAAGCGGGGAAAAAAAAGGGGGGCGGACGCTGTCAACGCAACGGAGTGTATTTATGGTTTAGTCGCCCATGAATTTGACACTGGTTGGTCTAGTCAGCTCCCGTCTCTGGGATTCGCGCAGAATCAGATCTACTTGCCCCTGAACATGTGAGACGGCTGGCTTGCGAGCCGTCCCTTGATGACATACATCAGCCTTATGGGGTCACCTAAAGGCAACGACATCTGTCCATTCTTCCGTATTAATGATTTTGATCGGTATTTTCCTTCCAATTTTCGCAGACTTATCCTCTGACGTGTTTGCTAGTGGTTTCTGTTGATTCAGAAACATCTCCGCCGTAAACCATTCTGCCCGCAATTCTCAAACATCTCAAACATCCGCCATAGCTATGCTCGGTGCCATGCTGTACCGCTTGCTGAGCCTGTGAAAGGAAACGAAACTACTCCGGGTGATAGCCTCAATGTGGCGAGCGCATTTCCAATGTCCGCAATCGAATGGCACGGTTACGCGGTTGACTCGGAGAGATTTGTCGCTATCGTCGGTTCGCAACCATTACCGCCAAGACCTGATGGCAGATCGGTGTGGTCCCTGCTCCATCCAGGGTCGCAATTTTGCCAGCGCAAACTTCAATGGGCGACGGTAGATTCAATGGCTCTATGTCTGTCGCAGGTCCCAAACTCCACGCAGACGGCGTGGATTTGTCCATGGAATTGGATGGGCAAATGAAAGCTTGGTGGGAGGGAAGGGGGCTTCCGGCGACGGCAGCAGCCATGCAGATCTAACCACCTCTTCAGCCCCAGGTGAGGGGGATTCTTTTCCCCTGTCACCGGTTTCGTTGGTCCCAAGCACACATGGTTTGATTCGCTGGGTTGCTCACCTTGACCGAACCAGGACAGACCACCCCAGCCTGTCGTTCACGGTAGACAACTAGGATTCCTTCGATTCTAGCAGTCAATCACGCGTTGCATGCTGAAGCTGGATATCTTCGATCGCAGACCGGCGCACGCGTCGGGCAGACCAACGCCAACGCCAACGCGTCAACGGAATCGCGTGACAGCTGCAGAGGAACAGGACGGGTCTCCCAGCGAAGGAGCTTTACAGTAGGGTTCCTGTATGACACCAAAACTGTGCTCCTGGCTGTGTTTACCGCCAACGCACTACGGGCACGCATGTTGCAATCTCAATTGACCAGGCCCGGAACGCCACCGCAAGCCCCCCTTCCCCTGCTGGCGAGAGGGAGTTCATCAGACGCGGCACATGAGGACCGTGCCGCCCCGGCACCACAGCCGGGGGAGGATACCTGAGCCCCCAAGTCCCCTTGAGCTCATATGCGAAGTTATCGCTCTGTTCTGAGGTGTGGTATTCATGGGTGAGCAAAGTGCCGGGGTAGGTGACGCGGGACGCCTTCTTCCCCGGCTCCCCACGAGCCAACCACCAGGCCCGACTTCGTGCTTCCGCTGGAGTTTTGCACTTTCGATACGCCCCTAGGCTTGTTCACTGACTTGTCTTGCGGCGCAGTGCTTAGGAGACGCCGCATCGTGCACTCGAACGTACTCGGCTGCATCGACGGCCGCATGGTAGCAAGGAGAAGCGAGGACTAGCTAGCCTCAAGTTTGAACATCGTCAGCCGTCGGGATCTCTGCCATGTCTGATCACGCATACGCGGCAGACAGACCTTGCTTCCTTCTTCTAGGGCACACAACTGAAGAAGAAAACGGCTATGGTAGCGAAATTGAATCTGGTTTCCTATAAATACCCCCCCTTCCAACCCTCTCAGTATCGTGAGCTGGACAGCGATGCAATTTTCTGTCCTCCGACAAGCCTCCGACTGCGACTTCTTGCCTATTCAAACCACTGACTGTCACGCGTCTTGTCCTTTGCTCAGCGCGACTTTGCGACGAATACCATGTCTTTCACCACCGAGCTTGAGAGACAACTGTGAGCATGAACGACTGCTTTGGTGGCCTCGTGGAACTCTTTGAAGCTGACTGATGGCAACTGCAGAAAACCACAAGGCTGTTCCTCTTCGAAACCCAGCCAGATCTACACCGGAGACAAATCAACTAGACCAACCCAACCTAAGCCAAAGCCAAAGCCAAAGCCACAGTAGTCCTACCAAGCACCCATCGGGCCGCCGAGTGCGGATAGTCAGCACCAGCGGATTCTTGTGACGGAACATATTTGCACGGCAATAGGGTCTCAGACAACTCGTCATCTCCTACTAGTCTTCGCGTTTCTGGTTGGAACATGAGAAAGCGTTGGCGGCAGTAGTCGTTGTAGACATTATCATGGGGGCTGCTATTCGAAACTAAGCTACGAGACCAAAGAAGACCAGAAGAAAATAAATCTTAGTTTCGGGGAAGACCATACACTTGAAAGGCATGTTAACAGACTTGACGCGGGCCGCGGCCTCTAACGCCCTCGGCATGATAAGGTGTGGGCAGAACCTTCCAGCTGCGCAGCCCATACCTTACGTGCGGTCCAGTTCCGTCTTAGCCTGGCAATCCGAAGCGAGAGGTTCCATCAGACACACAGACCAGAACCGTTGATCGTGACAGTGACTCTCACAACCGACAGTCCGGGTAGTCCACCCGTTGGCCAACCCCCTCCCCGGCTCCCCCAGCCTTTGCCCCTCCCGCGGAAGCAGAAACTGAGTTCCCCGACGAGCCGCGCCCCTCCAACGGCTGACAGAATATCGGTGTCGCGTCTGTAGAAGTGCACGTTTTCCATGAGCTCCTCGGGCGGTCGGCATCCATTCGTTCTCTTTACGAGGGCCTGCACGTCGACGTTCCCGGACGCGTCCACTGCCGCCACGCGACTGGGGGCCCCGGCTCACCACTATCTCCCATAGTATAGCAGAGCCTCCGTTGTGGGCATTGTTCGAGACCAGCAATGTCCGCGATCGATAAGACTATCCTGGAAATAGCGCTTGGCACCAGGCCCTGCATAAAGTCTGCGAATTGCGACCCATTCACTATCCTTAAGGATGGGCTTGCAAGGACTCGAAATATGAGTCCTACGGGAATAAAGAAAATTAATTCAACTGCTGTGATATTGAGCTTACTTCGATGAGGATAGCTGAATACTTGACCGTAGAAGCACTAAGGACGTACCTTGAACTCATGGATCGCCAAACTTCCTTCGTGCCGTTACAGGAGTATAAATTAGCCAGTGAACTGTATGACGGGAAGCAAACCCCATGCAATTTGATGCTCAAAATCCAAATACCCAGTTTCTCACAATAGGGAAAAGAATATTAAAACCGTCAATAGGCATGCGCAAATCCGTACGTTTGGGCAGATATCGAGGCTAATTTTGCACACCAATACACAGAGTAATGGAGGAGGCTAGTAGGCCACAAGCAATTTTTGTCTGACAAGCGTTAGCATAATAGTAAATGTCAGTCAATGCGCATGCAATTTGAAGATACTTGCGAAACCTTCCAAAGCGGTGTTCAGCCAAGGCGAGATGCTGGAAAAGAGTGTGTACAAGTCGCCAATATGATCATTTGATAGGTGTCTCTCACCCAGTGACAGTATCCGACGGCCACTCTGTTTCGGGTTGCGTCAGCTTATAAGGCTCTTGTGCGACTTTGGTCTGTTCAAATGTATGCGAATGAGTGGCTCACAAACAGGCTCCTTCAAATCCATCGCGTAGCAACTCAGGACAAAGCACTGAGACATTTCTCAAAAGTGTCACAATTCTGCTCGAAATTGGAACTTGAATCTGGTCATTAGCACAATATCAGCTGTCATCCGTAATTCTCGTTGTCGAGACCAGTGTCTTCTCACTTGAACCCAAAACATCTAGTACCGCTCTTGTTCGCCACCTCGCGGGACTTTGGCGATACTCATGGGAAATGATGCAGGGGATCTCAGAACGAGAAGTCCACATACGGCTTATGAAGTCCTCGTCAGAGCGGAACGTAAATAGAAGGGCCTTGTCGTCCAAAATGAGGTGTCCCTCAATCTCGTAGACATGGGCCTCAAGAGAGCCGTAATACCATTATTCGCGAAGCTTTTGTGGCCGAATGACCTCGGCAGCGAGCAGTATCACCAGGACTGTTACTCCCTGTGATGGTTGGAAGTATTTTCTGTGCGACATTTGGGCGAACCAAACGCGCTGAGAAGGATGTCTCGCTTGTGCTCGAAACCGCTCATTGGGCACTGTGATACAGCTTCACGGATTCTTTTGTCATAAAGCGCCGGATCTCTGAGAAATCAATAATAAGGAATGGATTTCCGCAATCTTATTAGCTATGGCAAGGGCATGAATAAGAAAGGCATACGGAGGCTGTCACCGATGTGCTACTCGAAATTTATCTTGCTGGCCTGGCTGTTAGCTTCGGCGCCAGTCTCGGCTGTCTTTAGAAAGCCGAATCTTGTTGCGCGTAATGGTACAGTGGCGGTGCAAAAAAAACGACACAGTGCGAAATCCCATATAAACTCAGCTACTTTACTATAAAAAAGCTAGTAATATACTTAACTAAAAAAAAGCTTTTTTCTATATTTATAGATCTTTATAGAAACTATACTTATAAATATTTCTAGATTTTAATAATAAAATTTAATAAAAATATAAAAATATAAAGTTTTATAAATTTCTAAAAAATAGCTTATAGGGGGTTTTAGGGGATCGCTATCCACTAAACTTTTTAGAAATAAATCTCTTAAAACTTTACTTATATATAACTTCTTAAGATTTTATTTAAAAACTTAATTTTCTTTTTATATATAAATACTATAGTAAAAATAAAACCTTATATTTTTTTATATTTTATTTTTCGATTAGTTATAGAGATATTTATACTTAAAAGTTGGAAAATTAGTGGGTTTTTGGTGTGATTTTGAAATGTGTTGTTTTTTTTGCTCCTACACTGTAATTCTGGAAATAGTGACTTTTTAAGAAGAACGCTTTGCTCATGTGAGAGGATGGATCTCCCCTTGTGGGCTTCTTCCAATTTTATTGACTTTCAACAGTAGTTGTTCTCGGAGATCACGCTTATATTGACGGTGGAGAGATTGCTGTCCTGGTCAATGGAAAGAACGAGTCCACGTATGATCATCCATCATGGCAACGTAAGTAGACTTCTATCTCTATCAATTTCTTCAATGGGCTGACGTGAAATAACCATTCTCGGACAGTAAATGATACGCTTTCCATCGACTTACGAAAGTCATGGAGCTCGTTGGATGTTGAAATCAAGGCGATACCAAAGCCAGCTGGTATTCCAGTACTAGACGGCCAAGCTATGTGGAGAGACCGGTCTTCCAAAGCGTTTTACATATGGGCCGGTGCAACGCCCTTCAACGAGGAGGTGCAGGATTCTAACATCTGGCGCTTCGCACCTGATGGAGGCGACAAGGGTGACTGGACCGAGGCCACCATTAGCAACCATGACAACTTCAAATATCTTCTTCAACCTAAAAGAGGCGCATTTGCTCAAAGCGACTCCGTTGGATATTACTTCGGCGGCTTCGCAACGATACGCACCGACAAGTCAATCTCAGACTGGAAAATAAGCAGGCCATTTCCGGGGCTAGTGTCTTATGACATGTCAGGACGTCAGAAAGTTGTGAACAGTTCTTCGGAGGGATTTGGTAAATGGGGAACATTCAAAGGTGGCTCTATGGAGTTTGTACCTTTCGGGCCAGACGGATTGCTCCTCGTTCTCGGCGGAGCACAAGCTCCCCTATCAGAAAATCTTGAAGGCCGATGGAAGCCAATGGACTTTGGCAAAATCTTCATATATAATCCAGCAAGTATGGATATGGCGCCCTTCTTGATGCTTTGGTCTAACATGCTGTCAGCTAGGAAATGGCATACCCAACAAACGACGGGAACACAACCGACACCGAGAGAGAAGTTCTGTACAGCGGGAGTTGCTGGACAGGACAACACATATGATATGTCAGTGCCCAGTAGGACAACAGAACATGATCGATATGCTGACTATATACTACCTGATTAGATTCATTTACGGCGGCAGCGTTTGGGGTGAGGGCATATCTGAAGAGGTGTACGTCCTAACCCTGCCCGGATTCAACTTCTTCAAAGCAAACACCAGCATCGGCTCAACACCCCGAGAGTGTCATGCCTGTGCTGTAGTCGGCAAACGCCAGATGTTGTCTGTCGGGGGAACGAGCAACCCTGAGGCCCCAGAATCCTTGACAGAGCCTGACCCTTGGAGCCGTGGGCTTGGCGTTTTTGACATGACAAAATTGAGCTGGGGCACTCGCTATAATGCCGGCGCAGCTGACTACGATAGCCCATCGGTGGTCAAACAGTGGTATGACCAGGGCGGCAGGAATAAAATTAAATGGGACAGTGACGAAGTGAGGACGCTTTTTGCGCAACGTACGTATCACGACCCCCCATGGATGAGGAGATGACCCAAAAGATTATTGACTACCTTTCTAGCCCTTTCCACAAATATCAATAGTCATATTTCGCAAGACTCTAAGCCGGCTGTGAGCACGATTGTGGGTGCTGCGGTTGGAGGAACTGCTGGGCTGGTTATTGTCGTCGGAGTTATTCTTTTTAACTTGCGACGGAGAAGGCGGAAAGCAGCAGAAAATCAGCTTTCATCGACGACGAACCGGCCTAAATGCGAAAAGCATGAGTCGGCAATGCAAAGGTCTGAACGCAGTGTGGCAAGGGACTTCGAAATGGCTGAAGCTTATGAGATGTCCGGTGGTCCAACTGCTGTCGAGTTGCCAGAAAATCCAAGATCGCCAGGCAGAAAGATTCAACAGCAGAGGCACGAAATGGCTGGATGAGGATCGTGCATGGCTCAATTAATCATCTTGGAAGAAGTCCTGGGGGAGGAGGGTCGCTAACTGCATTGTGTACGTTTTCATGGATTTCATATGGCCTTCTTTGGCCAAGCAGGTACAGATTAGTCGCAGTACACAGCCAACATTTGGGGCAGAGAAGTATAATGTTAGTGATACAGTAAAGCCGTCGAGGCGAGATGCATCTGAAATGCATCCTTCCAAGTTGACAGCAGAGCTATCGCACGATGAAATAACGAAGGATCAGTTTCATCAAGGCTTTGCTCCCCCTCCTCCAATCGTGTTAGAGGCTGTTCTAACTTTAATCATGAGCATGAAGCAATGCACTTGCTAAATTCTCTTAGCATTTTGTCCGTTTAGCGTTGGTAATGCCTGCCTGCAGTCATAGTGGAAAGAGTTGAAATGGGGAAGTTGCAAGCAGGACGTTGAAATTAGACACCCCCGATAAATTGCGGCGGAGGTCAGTGCACCACAGAGGCATCCAACAATCGCTCTTTCCCCTCCCCCACCTCACGGCAACTTCACCTCTCCCCGGATTTTCCTTCCAACCTCCTCAACTTCACTCATCAACCTAGACCTCATTCTCGGGATTTTATGCAATGAGCATGCACTCCGCAAATTCACATCGACAAAGATGCACGCCCGTAAATTGGACTGACGCCTCAAGACCTGTCTCTGGAAAAGCTCTACGCATTGCCCCTCGATTGAGTGTCAACGGTCCGGCGTCATGTCACATTCGGAGCAAAACAAGCATCACGTCTCGGAGAGAATCATTAACAGCCGGCCTTTTTCCACGGCACAGAAGAGCCAACTTTGATTGTCAACCGGTACACCCCTGGACAGTCACAGACGGCACCCCTCGCCGACAGCAACTCGCAATTTCGAATGCGTACCGCGATTGGTTCAGCTTCACCTTGGCTCTGCCGGTGGACTAGGGTTGAGGGGCCGCCGATGCTCTCGTCAGGCTCGTCGGCAACATCTCCGCTAGAAAACACCCCTCTAGACCGGTTGACTACGACCCTATTTCTTCAGCCAGGAAGTTCCAAAGAACCGTCCCGTTAGCTGACAACAAGGCGCGAATCGGATTGCACATGGGCAACTGCACGTTCGCTCACGATTGTTGAAGCATACCCCGCATGGTGCAGATGAATTGCCTAGCCCACGACAAGGAGGGATAATACGGTTGCCATCCAAGTCCCGACTCCACCTATCACACTGGCGATCTCTGCCGTCGGCCGTCTCCTTCCGACTACACATCGAGCCAAGCGTAACCCTCGACAATCCTCCCCCGATCTGACGCTTCGGGAACTAACTGCCTTAGCTCAACAAGCATACGAGCCGTTCCTCTGCCTCGCCAATGGTGGTCTCAACGCAATAAGCCGTGCCTGAAGCACATCTTTCCAGCCACCTCTTCTGTGGTACGTCGGTAACGTTGTCCTCTCCGCGAACCTTGATCGACGCTCTGCAGTCACACCACTCCATCGCCGCTGAGAATAACCATATTTTCAGAAGTGCCTCGCGTTAGCTTGCTGATCCAGCCAACCTGCATACATGACAGTCGGCTGGTAGGCACCCATTTCAAAGAGAAAATCCGGGGGTTGTAACGCACATGACCATTTGTCCAGGCTTGTTGTGGTGGGTAGGACGAGGCTAAGGTTTAAACGTCTTGTCGATGCCGGGCGCGCTTACACTTGACACCATGTTCCCGAACTCTGCCCATTTCTCGGGCAGGCGCACAAAAGTCGGGCGGCTTTCAACCGGCCAAGGGTGTACGTTGCACGCTGTCCGGACACCCTTACCATGCAGAGAGTAAGCTTAGGTCTCCTGGTTGTACACGGACGGATCGGGAGCGATTACTCGGCTACCCGCCATGAGACAGCAGGCACCAGAGGATTTCGTATATGCCTCTACGATGCCTTTCCGTTACCTCACACAAGGTGCTACCATTGCCTCAATCGAAGCCAATTGTGGCTGCCGCAGGATGTCTCTGTCTGACTGCTGTGGCGGTAATGACGATATTGGTTGCGGTGACAAGATGACGGCTTTGGCAATGGGAAGCTTCGCGCCAGACTTGGCCCGTCTTGCACTCTTTGTCTTTGTATCACCAGGTCGAGACCCGAGTCAACAGTCTGGCAATACGATGGTGTGCGCGATTCACGGGCAGAGCCATGTAGGCTCGCAGAACGCGGTTCAGAGGCATGCATGTACGGAGTAGACAAGCCGTGGACAAGCGGTCCTACAGCTCACAGCCTCCGAGGTTGCCCAATCCGACTAGAGATTCTGTGCTGGCCGACCCGTCGACCGGCCAGCTGCGGATGCTGTTCGGCAGGTGTCAGACAGTCTGATAGCCATGCGGATCATGGGTGTCGGATGGGTCGAGCGACGGACTTGCGAAACACCTGGTGCTTCTGCTGCAACTCTTCACAGGCATGTCTTCGGCCGACAAGTAGATGCGACTTGGAGAGCAGGACAGGCCGCCGGCATCGTGTTTTGGTTGTTGACTCTGCTGTCGTACCATCGTGGCTTACCGTCCCTGGTTCAAGGCTCACAGCTTTTTGCCGCGCCGTCTAGTTTCATCAGAGGACGAGATGTTCGCTATCAACCGACAGGCATAATGCGGCAGGATCAAAGAGGAAGGATGTGAATGCCCTCCGCTGGGACCGACCGCGGTTGAAGCCCCCCCGGAACCCTCGGCTGAACGGTACCTCAGATGTTACCTTGCAAAGGAACCGCGGCTGATGAGGGGATCAACTCTTGTCACATTGACGAGCAGATCGAACGATTATCGCTGCAATGAGAGCTTAGCTCTTAGACGGAGCTGGCTCCTGGCTCTGTTCGTTGCTTTTTGCCTGTGCAACGCAACCACGGTACCGTCCCGCGCCGTAGTATCGTGGGATAATCAGTCGGATGCGCCAACACAGACAATGGCGTAGCAACCCAGCCTTGATCCCACGGCGTGCACCCAGCGACCCCGCGTCTATCAGGCCTAGATGGCAACCACATGGCAGCCACGCAAGTCTGCAGCTTCGGGGGCGTTATCGGGGTCCAATCGCAACCAAGCAAGGGCAGCACGTAGTTGCTCTTGGCAAGATGCCTCCTTTCTTTTCCTGGTTTTCAGTCAGCCCTCGCTTGCTCCGTCGTCTGGGCCTTCCCGGCTGGGACCGCCGAGATGATGCCGGCGAGGTGATGCCGACGGGATTTCTCAGCCGACCAACCACGTTGCAGGAGATGGACATTTCGGGCTGGTTCCCCACAATCCGCGGCATCGAAGGACCGGGGGCGGAGAAGGAGGCGAACGAACATGGGCCGCCGCCGCGGCTTGTCTTTTCTTCACAAACCTAGCCAGACAGCGCTTGAGGAGCATGGGTAGGGGTTCCAAGTCATTCGAGACATGGTGACGAGTTTTTCCACGGAGTGAAGTTCCTAGATGCATATGCAATCGGTCGTTGCTAGCTTCGCCACGGAGGCGAGTTATGACGATGGCTAATGTCTCTCGCGATGCATCTTCTCTGACGGAAAGCGCATAAGCGACTGGACGTACGTACAAAACATGTTGGGCAAAAAAACAACGACACAGCATCGTGTGTGCGTGCGTGCCTAACCGACATGGAGTTTCCGTTTCGGATGCTTTCTTTTGCCTCCTCTCCCGCCCTTGGGATTCCACTACCGCCTGCCCCATGCTCGTGAACCAACCAGGAGTGAAGTGAGCCACACACGCCGACTTCATAATATTCAAGTATAGAAAAACAGTGTGTAGATTAGAGGTTGAACAGATACACTGTATAACTCGCTTTGCTTGCAGAAGGAGGAGAGAGATTTGGACATTGTAGGAATGGAATGGTATATGTATGTACCAAAAACATGGTCTCGGAAAGGAAAGGTTTTGCTTAAATTTCAAAGTAATGTACAAAAAGTCAACTTGATGACAAGAGACCAGTTGAAAACAACCAAAAGATAGATACACGCAAGAACTCTGAGTCCGGTCAAACGGCGCGCGCGAGAAGGGGTATTTCCGAACAAGACAACCACCAAATCAGGGTAAAGAAAACCTTGACGACGACGCCCGGAATTTGGCTTAAGCGGAAGAGACGCGTTGTTTGTTGGAAAGCAGGAATTTGGAGAGAAAATTTGTATGTGCATTTGGGATTTGGATAAGCCTTTGAACAAGAAAAAGACAGAAAAATTGGTTGGAAAAATGTTTGTCGTCAGCACATGAAAAAGAACCAGAAACCGCAGAGAAAACGACAGGTTATGTGACCCAGAGACAAGAAAGCAGCAGCAAAATAACAGTGAACGAGTTTCGTGTCGTTTGAGCAGCGCGCTCGCCTTTTCTAATAAAGCAGATTTCCCGATTGCCGCCCCCTTTGCCTTTCCCCCTCCCGTTTGAACCAGAAACAGATAGATGCCTGCCATGTTGTGATGATGATGAAGTGTTGTTGTGTCTTCCTCCCTTGCCTTTCCTTTGGGTATCTTTACCGACCATGATGTCTTTCCAAAATTG